TTCAACTGTCAAATGTGTCAAAATATACATAATTTTGTCATGTATATAGTAAAAAATCACAGGGGAAAGTCGTGCAGTTAATGATTAACGCTTCTCGTAATTGTTTGAAAAATGTGCAAAATTTGCACAAGCCTCGGCGTCTCGTAATGCAAAATCATCGATGTAAAATCATTCGCAATTGTAATGCAAAAGCACTCCTTCCTCTGTGCATGATTACCACATAGAAATAATAAGGTAGAGTCTAAAGACCTACGGTACCTAAAATGATCATGTTCATGATTGGCTTTCAGAAACAAATCAGAAACAAAAATGATCATCGTTCGTGACTCGTTCTTTAGAAAGACGATTTCGATATAGTTTTATTGTCTTTCATTGTTATAATCAACCAACCACGAGCCTGGATAGTATAGGTAAGAGATGAACCAAATAATAGATCAATAATATGTGTTATTTCCATGGATTACATATTGCTTTCCTTTCCTTCCGTGTGTTTTCATGCTGTCCTTATTTCTTTTCATACCCCTGTTATTAGCTTTTTCGAAAAATTTGTTTTGATTACAAATCCTAACATTGTAATATTAATTCCACCAAGTGAAGTGCAAGAAACCAAATCAATGTATCCCATCTAGGTTTCTTAAATGTTTTTCATCAATTAATTTCTCTTTTATTTATTTGTTTCTTTTGATTCTATTGGCAGTGCCCAATTTTAACTTATTTCATTTAATTTGTTGAATTTTTATCTTATCAATCTCAGCCCATCGTTTTTCTCATGTTGTTTATATGTTTCTTATCGTTTTATTTCATGTTTATTATGTTCAGCACAAAAATTTGCAAACCGTACTTCCTGTACTTCCTATTTTCTCTTCAGCAACAATGCATCTAAATGACGGCGAATCTCCAAAACCATCTTTCTTTAGGACTAAAAATACGAAGGTATTAAAGTTTCGTTAATCACATATTAGGGCCATTTATACGAGCGAAAATAAGCCTCGGCCTAAATAAGCCGCGGCTTAAATAAGTCGCGAACGATTCGTATAAACAGTCAATTTGCAATAAGCAGCGGCTAAAATAAGCCCAGAGTTGAAAGCTAGGCCTAAATAAGCCGCGGCTTATTGCGAATTGACTGTTTATACGAGTTGTTCGCGACTTATTTAAGCCGCGGCTTACTTAGACCGCGACTTATTTTCGCTCGAATAAATTGCCCTTAGTATTATTGCTTATAATCCACAATATATTCACATAAAGTTTTACATATTAGTTTTGTAGAAGACACGTACAATAGACAATTCCCACAATTCCCAAGCCCCGTTTACACTGCGCTCGATTTTTGGTACAGTACCACTTTTTTGGTTCTTGGACTACCTAAATAGGTAGTCCAACCAAATAGGTAGTCCAACCAAAAAAGTGGTAGGGGTACCAATTTTATCCGTGCCGTACCAAATTGTTGAGCGTAGTGTAAACGGGGCTTAATTTTAAAACTAGACAAGGAGATGCAAATAAATCACCACAGCTAGCAATGCAGTTGTAAAATGCGGAAAATATAGCCTTGCAAAGTTTGCAAATTTTGCATACTTTTGTAATGCGTGCGGAAATTGCTACCATTTTCGGCCCAAATGTGGTAGCAATTTCCGCACGCGATATAAAAATATACAAAAGTCGCGAACTTTGCAACGCGACATTTTCCGCATTTTACAACATTTCGCAACCAAACTTTGAAATTTTAATAATTTTAGTATGCTCTTTCCGGGAATACAGTATAGATAAAAATTTAGTCTATAATGGGAATTGTCTATTCCTAATTTGGAATGAGACGCATTTCATGTCTTTTGCGGTTTGCGGGACAGAGGGCTCGAATTTTCATATCCGACACATTACATAATGTAAATATTGCATACCTAACCTGTATTTCTTAATACGTGGGAGCGCACGTGGTGAGATGTGAGAAAAACTACCTTCGGTAATTGGATATATCACTACCTTCTAGTATATTATAGTGCCAGAATGGAACTTTTAAAACAGACGTACCTTCCTCATTAACTTCAACTACGGATTCTGGCTCTTCTTCATATACAGCTAAATCCTTTCCACAAAAAATAATACATTTTATAATGTACATATTACTATAAACTATACAAACATCAAGCTTTTCATTATGTTCACTATAATATATTAAACCTCTTGCCATGGCATGAATTGGTGGTTTTTACAGTATCTACCTTGCCATATTTTTTCTGCATGACCCATCAACTTATTTCTTATTTAAAGTTTGCAGCTTGCACGAGTAAGTACCTTTTAGCATTCTGGACATGAGAATATATCATAATGATTTAATAAACGCAAATTTCAAAATATATCAATTGGCACATTTGAACAGAAGAATCCAAGTAGTAGCCATTTATAAGAGGGGGGAGGGAAATTTTATTTCAGATTCATTTACGAGCTCTTTGTGGAGCAATGACCCAAACACTGCTAGCAGATTTTGGCCCACATATAATATATATTTTATAACAGCTTTAACATATACTGTGCACACAAATTCGCGGCCATCTCAAACACCGGCTTTCACAGTTTAAGTGAGGTAACAGCAAATTTTAAATAAATTTACACCATTACAAAACCAAATGAAGTGTGCTACTGTATCTTGTGTAAAATCAGCATATCTAGAGTATATATAATAAACCACAATCTTGAATGATCAATGCCAGCAGCATAGGTAGTGCCGATAATAGACATGGTGTGAAAGAGATCCATGTCAACAACCTGAACAATAGACAGCTTAATATCTACGATGTCGACGTCAGCTAGGACGTCAGGGCTATGCCTAGCTGACGTCGACATTGTAGATCTTAAGCTATCTAATATTACAACGGAACTTAAATGTTTCGAGTGCTTTGACGGCAAATTCATAGCCAACTAGTGCCTTTGCTCAAAACGTTGAAGACTTGAAGTTCTATTTATTGATAGTCAATGATAATCAATGATAAGCCATGCCTATATTGATATAGTCAATGATAAGCCATGCCTATATTTGTCGAGGGCCACACCCATTTAGTTGGTAAAATTGGAATGCTTCATCTCGATCCCACTCAAAAGATCCAAGCTGTGGCACTATATATATTAAATAATCATAATTCCCTGTTAATACGTACAATACCTGAAAGTCGAAACATCAAGGTTTCTGCATGTCAAATCTTGTTCAGAACAAAGGAAATGGATATTATATATACTTATTTGTGAATATTATATAGGTGATGTGCAACCATTCCCATGGGATTCAAAGGTATACACAGTACTGAACATACTAGAAGGTTGCTAGCCTAAGCCCTATCACTTGTAAATACTACCTCGATTTTTTGGTTATGTTAATCTCGTACACATTAACGTAGGGAAAGTAATGATAAAAATTTGGGGAGGTGGGGGTACTGGAGCTTGAAAGGGCAGGGTGGTGCCCTGGTGGGTCAGGAAATATACAAGCCTAATGGCATCCATTAATCGTAGTCAACGTACCTTTATATACCTTACAATTGCTGCGCAATCATCAGGCCTAGCATTTCTTATAGTAAACCAATCTTTATTTACAATTTCTGAGAGTTGAGGAAGGTTTTCGCCATCACTCCCCATGAATATTCCACGCTATATAAATCTGCAAGACCTCAAACAAAATCTGTCTGTCTTGCCTTCGCCGCACCTTTTAAATTAGGGAATGTACGTGGTTATTCGTGGTTATCTGATTTATATTTGAATGAAAATGGTCAGTGAAAGGAATATGTCAGTGAAAATGTGAAATAGTGAATATACTTCCACTTGGCAGTACGTCATTTTCAGTGCTTCCACTCGGTGACAACCAAATTTCCTTTTCTCATCCTTATTTTTTACAAAACGATTTAATGATTTAATAATATTCGGCAACTACCTAAAAATACAACAATGTAGTGCCAGGGAGTTCGCCAAGTAGAACAACACAATTACAAAACGGCTAAACTGACAATTAATTAACAACAGTTTAAAACACCATCAAGGGATCTAGCCCTTTTACCAGGACCTTTTTTAACATACAAGCTGGGGGGAGCAAATGCCCCCCCCAGTCCCTCCTTGTGCCTCCCCACGAAATCACATTTTGCCCCCCCCCCAGGAAAAGTCCCTTTTCCCTAAAATTATACAAACAAACCAGCGAAGATTAACAAATACATAAACGGAAAGTAAGTTTTAGGCTTTATCCTTTGTCCTTGTTTAACAAAATCGATTTAAATTGTTTCTTTTTTCTACCACTAAGTAATGATAAATTATTGTTAATAATTTTTTTTATTTTTTGGATGCTCAGAATGCAGGAAATAGCATTTCCGGGTTTCAAATTTCAAAAATTTTCTGGAGATTATCCCTCTAATAAATAATGAGAAATTACAGTTAATATTCTTTTTTACTTTTTGTGCATTTTTTCCATCTTTTATTTGAAATACAAGTATAGTTAGCATAAATTTTAGAGCAAATTTGAATGCTCAGAATGCAGGAAATGGCATTTCCGTGCTTCAAATTTCACAAATTTTCTCGGGGAGTACACCCCACACACCTGACCATTGCTATCCTCCTCTAATAAGTAATGATAAATGATGGTTAATTTTTTTTTACTTTTTGTGCGTTTCTTCCTTTATTTATTTCAAATACAAGTACAGTTAGGATAAATTTTGGAGCAAATTTGGATGCTCAGAATGCATGAAATGACATTTCCGGGAGTCAAATTTCAAAAATTTTCTGGGGGAGTACACCCCCAGACACCCCATTCATGCGTGGTATATTTTCCACACACGTGGCTTTCAGCCATTGCTATCCCCCTCTAATATATTATCTCACAGAAAGGTCCCTTTTCAAAAAATGCCCCCCCCCCCACGGGAAAATCCTTAAAAAAGGCCCTGCTTAGCCGATGGGAAATGCATTCAAAAAATTTCGTATGAATATGTTTGGTATTTCTTGAGTTATCGTGCACACATACACACACACATACTGTACACACACACACACACACACACACACACACACACACACACACACACACACACACACACACACACACACATACATACATACATACATACATAGTACATACATACATACATTTGATAGTTGTTCCCTATAGCCGGGCTTTTCAACAACCATTTACATTGAAATTAGTAGAATCGGTAACAGACATAAAATAAATCGAGATAGACTGCAAGCTTACAAATGGCACTTTAAGCTGCTGCTGTTAGTCCATGTCCCTTTTAATAGCCTAACATGCCACCTTGTTGATTTTGTAGAAGGGGGAACCAGAACTCGTACCCGGGGGAAAAACCCTCGTTCAGCACAGGAGAGATCAACTAAACTCTGCTCACTTGGTTAGTCACCAGGCGGTGACTCTGGACTTAACCAGGGGTGGAAAAAGTATCGGAACCTGGGAACCTAGTTCCCAGAAATTTTCTTGAGTTGAGAGTTTTGCAGAAAATTTTCCAGAAAATATTTCAACATTTTGAGATAACTCTGTTTACTCAACTTACAAGTTACAACTATTCTACTTTATTTACACTGTACATGCTAACATCAGCAGCTTTTAAATATTTGACAGAAATTAATTCTTTTACCCACCCCTGCTATCACAATGACTGGTAAAATGGTAAATATATGCTCTGCAAAGTCTCCAATAAAATGCAAATTAAATAGTAAACAAATAAAAGTGATGGAATAAATAAGATGATAGGACACTTAGTTAAGCGTTAGATCCTTACTAGTTGGTCATAACTCATAACTGTGGTATATAACAGACAACTATTGTGATGTACAAGCGTAC